CGAATGGCTAAAACGTATCTTTCTTGACTTTCGTTACACCAGATTTCCATAGGTGAAAGGGTAGGATCATCGCAAGGAATGCTTCTTAAATCAATTAAAGCACCACGATCACTATCGTGAACAATTTCAGGTAAAGCATTGGAAAGACCACCAGCACCAACATCGTGAATAGATTGGATAGGGTTGTTTAAGCCAAGAGTGGTACATGAGTTGATAACTTCTTGACATCTACGTTGCATTTCAGGGTTTTCACGCTGGACTGAAGCGAAGTCTAAATCAGCATTACCAGAGCCAGAGTTCATAGATGAGGCAGCACCACCACCTAAACCAATAAGCATACAGGGACCACCCAAAACAATGAGCTTAGCACCAGGAGAGATATGGTTCTTTAAAACGTGACCAGGTTGAACACTACCTAAACCACCAGCTATCATGATAGGCTTGTGGTAACCACGAACTTCATCAGTTCCGGGGATAGGTTGACAGTAAGTACGGAAGTAACCAGTGGTATTAGGTCTACCGAATTCGTTATTGAAAGCAGCACCACCAAGAGGAGCTTCAATCATGATTTGGAGAGGAGAAGCAATGTTAGCAGGCTTACCATAATCGGAAACTTCCCAAGGTTGTTCAAAACCGGGAATACGTAAGTTAGAGACAGTGTAACCAGTTAAACCAGTCTTGGGCTTGGAACCAGATCCAACGGCACCTTCGTCACGAATTTCACCACCAGAACCAGTAGCAGCACCGGGGAATGGAGAGACAGCAGTGGGATGGTTATGGGTTTCTACCTTGATTAAAAAGTGGAGATCCTTAGCTTCTTCAGCTTCGGTATAGTGATGAGGAGCAATGGGACTGGGTAAAAAGTTCTTAACGGGATGACCACCTAAAACGGCAGCGTTATCGGAATAAGCGGATAAGATATTATCAGAGTTAAGTTTGTAAGTGTTTCTGATCATGTTGAAGAGAGAATGGGGCTTAGCTTCACCGTCAACGGTCCAATCAGCTCTGAAAATTTTATGTCTACAATGTTCAGAATTAACTTGAGCAAACATCATTAATTCTACATCGGTAGGGTTACGACGAAGGGGGTTAAGCTTTTGATCGGGGTTAGAAGAACCTACGAAAGCATCGATTAAGTAATCGATTTCGTCGGTAGCTAAAGCTAAACCGAATTCCTTATTAGCCTTGGATAAAGCTTGCTTAGGGTCAACGTTGGGGTTTAAAATATCTACATAAATTAGAGGACGAGCGTCACCTGATTTGAATACGAAATCTTCATTAGGAATATCGCTTTGAACAACTTGAGTCATTCTATCGTAAACTAAGTCACCGTATTGAGCTTCAAACTCGTCAGCGCTTAATGCAGGGGAGCCGGAGGGACAAGTGATAAAGTAAACAATACCGCGTTCAACGCGTTGAATGGCGGAATCTAATCCACAAACGTTAAGGATATTAGTAGCCTTTGAGGACCAGGGGGAAATGGAACCGGGACGAGGAAGTACCCAGAAGAGTTGAACTAACTGACCGTTAGAGTCTTCAAAATATGATCCAGCAACGCCTTTATCGAGTTTGTTTCCTAAAATTTGGCTATATTCGATATTTTCTGAACCGTCACCGTAATTGAGTAAAGTTTTTAAAATTGTTAAATTTTCTTCATTTAAGTCTGAGTTTTCATTTTTATGAACGAAGTGAACGTGGTAGGCACCAACACTTGTGATAGTTTGGTTACGAGCTTGAACTTGATTTAATAAGCTTTGAATACGAAATTGGGAAAGAGCACTATTTCCTTTTAAAGTTAACATTTTGATCTAAAAAGTTTATATGATATAATAATAATAATTGAGTTGTTAGTAATGGTTTCTTTTTAACTTATAGACGACTTTAATCTACTCTGTTTAAAAAGACCCTTTGTTACTTGCTAATAATTTTAATGAGTCACTGTTAAGATACTACTTAGTGGATAAAAATTTCAACCCTAATTTATACTTGAGAAAATAATTTGTGTTTAGATTGTGGGTTAAAGAAAATTTTGGGTTACAATTGAATAATGAGAAAATTTTTCAACAAGCGGGACAATTTAAACTTTAGTTCGCATTTTTAGCAATTGTGGATAATTTATATTAATTGAATGCAGCACAAATGGTAATTTTTATCTCTGGCTATTTTTTTATATACTTTTTAAGCTCATAACTTTTTTCATTGGGTAATATTGTTCCTTAGAATTTTATAGAATCTTTTTCTTTTAATTTAATTAAAGCCCAAATTAATTTAATTTTATTATTGTAACAGATCATAAATAGTGACTATAATAATATACTTATATTATATAGATATTAATATAATATATAGCTTATATAGCTTATATAGCTACAGACTCATTACTTTATTATATATTATCTAATCAAGTTTTGTTACCAATAATCTCTTACACATTTTGGATAAATGACTGATTTCTTAAACCCCAACATTATTAGCAACTTGTCAAAATAGAAGTTGTGACTTTTGATTACTAATTGATCTTGTTATATATAGTACTCTATACTTGTATGTGCTTTAATTCATACTATGATATATACTTACTTGCTATAGGAATAACTATTCAAAATGATACGTCATTAAATTTATTCTCATTTCAAATTAATCTATTATTTTTTCATTGTTGGATTACCGGATCAATTTAATCAACTTATATTTTACTCAATTAAAATTAAAAACAAAAATAATTGGCTAATATATAGTGATTGTATAATAACCGAAAACTAAAATTAGTTGATATTAATAATATAACGCTTAATGGTACAAGCTTATTGAGGTAATAACATCCAGGTTTATGGTTAAGTATGTGTATAAGTTTTAAAAAAGGAATCGAATAGTAAGCTTATGCCCTATTTATATTTATTTAGGATAAACTTTGATTTACTGGCTATTTTTTATTATGGATCAACTCTTTCAACTTTAAAATCCATTCTAAGTAAATCGAATTTGTGATTAAATAGAAAGTTTTTTATATGTATATAATATTTTAATTATGCTATTTAATACAAATTGTCAGTATTAAACTGTTATAATCAATTATTATTTAAATCAGTACAAATTATATCTGCTAACAATCCAATTACTTGCTTTTTAGTATTAAAACGGTGCTTTATTCTTTATTTTAGCTAATTGAGTTATATATATTACGTTTTATTGATTAATTGCAATGAGAATAAGATTATATATGAATTATTTAAGTATATATTTTACTATATACTTATATATTAAAGCTTGAGATTATTTTTACTAAATTCATCTATTTTAAACTTAAAATACCTCATGAATTATTTCGAAATACGCTAAAATGCTATCAGCCAGCTATTTACTTTGATTAAACAGCAGTCTAGATTTCAATATAACTTTATTAACTTGAATTTATATCTAGAGTATCGAATAAAATTAAATTGATATCTTGACCAAAAAATTACTTTTATTTAAATACTTGCACTTCAGCAAACGATAATCAATTTTAGTTAATTTGAATCAAATTTTTGTATATAAAAGTCAATTCAAAATTTCTTAATTTAAACCTTATTCTAGCTTTAATACCATATACCTTATTAAATGATAACAGTTTATGATTATATATTCAACTTAATTAACAACAATGATTTTATATGATGTTTTAAGAATATAAAAATCAATAATAACATTTTTTTATATTAAAAAACTTAAATAAACTTAATACATATAACTGGATCACGCGAGTATAAATTTACTATTTGAATATAAAAATTTAATTATTATTCAAAAATATACACTTATAAGTTAGGTAAAATTTAAATAACCGTAATAAATTACTTTGGATAATTACTAACTTTTAAGAAATATAATATACTTTTAGATAAGTTAATTTTTTAATATAAAATTATAAAAATTTATTTGCTTAGAGTGAAAAGAAAAAAGAAATCACTAAATTATATATTTTATAGTATATAATAGTAGTATTAGCTAAAATATAAATCAACTTACATATTAAGTTAAACTTTTTGTTAAATATTATAAATTCTATTTTTATCCAATTTAATTATAAGTCACACGCTATTAATTGATTGATATTTTAAAAATTATTAGTTTCGTCATCAGTATAAAAACTTTTATCCTTCTTTCTATTTGATTTAAAATTTAAAAGAAAAAGAAAAAGATTTTAATAAAATGACTTTAGTTCATATCGGTAATAATAAAAAAACTTGATAATATAACACCCTAATTAATAATAATGTAGTATTACTTCGTATTAGACCCAGTGTACAAGCTGCCAGTATTCAAAATTTAACTGATAGATTACACCAAATGAAGCAAGAAATCCCTTATATTAAGAGATGTCACGCTGGTAACAATATCACTGAAAGAGGAAAGGGTTATAACTATGGTAATACTAAAAACTTTTAATTATCTTGTATATTAATAATATTTATTTTTAGCTATTACCGTTGAGTTAACCTCTAAAGCTGTAAGTCAAAATAATATTATTATTTCTTTATAATATAGCTAATAATTATTATTTTAGGAATTAAATCCTTATAGAGATCACCCCTTCCATCAAGAAATTTTAAAAACTATTAAGGAAGTAGTTGAAGAAGATGGTAATTAATTAATAATAATATTTTTAATAATAATACTTACTATAATTTGCAATAATTAGGTGTTTTGGCTATGGACTACGAAACAGATATTTAATATAATTATTATTAATATTAAAATTAATTTTAATGATATAATACGTATAGTATTGCTTATATATATTTATTACATTGATATTAGTAGATAATATAATTTTAAATGATGAATATAATATAAATAATATATAAAAAGGAAATATAATTGTATAAAAAACTTGATATGATCAGATAAAAATATAGCTTATAAGATATAAAGTAAAAGTTAGTAGATATATAAGATTATAATATTTGTATAGAGATTAATATATTATAATACAAATGATATAGAAGTTAAGTTAATGAGCTCCCATAGCTCAGTTGGTTAGAGCGTGGTGTCTAATAACGCCAAGGTCACAGGTTCGATCCCTGTTGGGAGCATTTTTAGAGA